GCCTGGGCCAGGGAAAGCAAGACCCTGTCTCTACAAAAAAAGAAAAGAAAAGAAAAAATTAGGCAGGCATGGTTGGCGAAGGCCATTGTCGTAGCTCGTAGGTTGAGGTGAGAGGACACTTGATACCCAGGAGGTTTGAGGTTGCAGTGAGCTATGATCAACACACTGCAGCCCTGGCGTTACGACAGCATACTCCATCTTTAAAAAAACAAAAATATAAAAAGTACATCGGGGGCACCCAAGATGGCTTGAATACGAACAGCTCCAGCTCCAGCTCCCAGGCGTGAGCAACACCAGAAGATGGGCGTGGATTTTTGCATTTTCAACTGACGGTACCGGTTTCATCTCACTGGGGTCGTGTCGGACAGTCAATGCTGTCACATGGGCAGCCTGGACCAGGCAAGAGCTGAAGCAGCGAGGCACACCTAACCGAAGCACAAGGGAAGGGAATTCCTTTCCTAGCCAAGGAAATTGAGACACACAACACCTTGGAAAATCGGGCAACTTACCCAACTAATACTGCACTTTAACCAGGGTCTAGGCAAAATGGCACACAGTGAGATAGTGTCCACCACTGGCCGGGGGTCCCATTGCCACAGGAGCCCCTGCTGCTAGCCAGCAGTCTGAGATCTAAACTGCAAGGCAACAGTTGGTGCAGCACACCAACATGGCACATGTATACATATGTAACAAACCTGCATGTTGTGCACATGTACCCTAGAGCTTAAAGTATAATAATAAAAATAAATTTTAAAAAAATAGAGCTAATACATCTTTAGGCCAGGAGCCACGGCTCATGCCTGTAATCCCAGCACTTTGGGAGGTTGAGGTGGGAGGATCTGTTGAATCCAGGAGTTCGAGGCTGCAGTGAAAAACAAACAAGCCTCAGTTAGTCCTATAAACCTGAAACCAATTCCAAAGTAAGCAGCTAGCCAGGAGTGGTGGCACACACCTGTAACCTCAGCACTTTGGGAGGCAGAGGGAGGAGAATGGCTTCAGCCGAAGAGTTTGAGACCAGACTGAACAACATGGCAAGACCCCGTCTCTACATTTTATTACAAGAAACTTTTTTTTTAAGTGAAAGCAAGTTTATTAAGAAAGTAGAGGAATAAAAGAATGGCTACTCCATAGGCAAAGTAGCCTACAAAAAACTTTTTTAGAGTAAGCAACTAGGTTTCTTAAGAACCCCTCTCTTCATGATACTTGGGTCACACTTTGGCTGGCCACAGTTCCTACTCATTAATCATATCCTTTTAGAGGGCTGTGATTACCAACAACTGCCGGGTTCTTTCTTTTGATACCTTTCCTTTAAAAATTAAAAATTACGGGCTGGGGGCAGTGGCTCATGCCTGTAATCCCAGCACTTAGGGAGGCCGAGGCGGGTAGATCACCTGAGGTCAGGTGTTCAAGACCCGCCTGGCCAACATGGTGAAATCCCCTCTCTACTAAAAATACAGAAATTAACCAGGCATGGCGGTGGGTGTCTGTAATCCCAGCTATTCAGGAGGCTAAGGCAGGAGAATTGCTTGAACTCAGGAGGTTGCAGTGAGCTGAGGTCACACCATTGTGCTCCAGCCTGGGCAACAGAGCAAGACTCTGTCTCAAAAAAAAAAAAAATTTAAAATTATGGGCTACCGGAACGACACACTAGGTATCCTCTACCATGCCATATGACCTAGTGAGAGTCAGAGGGGCAGGGTCTGTCACTTGTTGTCTATGAAAGGTCACATTAATTTGTTTCCCAGCTGTAATCACTTACCTGTGAAATATGTCGTAAGCTTCAGCTCGTATCCTTCATGAAGTTCTTTTTCTTTCTCACATCCAGGCATTACTTCTCCTTGTATTTGGGGACAAAATAATGCTCTTTTGTTAAAGTCATCAACGTTTCTATGCTTTGCCATTAGTCTTGGGCTGGATTACCATTTTTATGGATGCTGAAAATGCCAGCTCTCTTTTTTCCTAACGCCTATATTTGTAATTCTTTTTTTGAGACAGGGTCTTGCTCTGTTACCCAGGCTGGAGTGCAGTGGTGCAATAGTAGCTCACTGCAGCCTCCAACTCTTGGCCTCAAGGGGTCCTCCAGCCTCATCCTCCCAAAGTGCTGGGATTACAGGCATGAGCCACTGCGCCAGGGCTATATTTGTAATTCTTCTAGTAGTGCCTACTTTAAGGGGAATTGTATGACCTTGTGACCTTGGTGACCTATGTCTATTCCTATGTCAAGAAACTGAAAACTCCATTTTCTTCAAGACAACCATTTCTCAATTGGCAGCAAACTAAAACACCCCAGAGAAACTCTGTTACCATACTCTTTGAGACTTTTGCTTTAGAATCATGGGTTGTGATAATAATAAATTTCAATCCAATATTAAGAGAATAACTGAACACCAGTTGTTAAGGCCTAAGCAGCCAGCGCCAGCTTCTGCTCGGAGTATCCCCTGCGCTGTGTGAGCCTTCGCCTGCTGGGAGACGCTCACTGCCCTGCTCGACCACCAGGAGGCAGCAGCCCTCTGTCTGTTAAAGGAAAACAGGCGAGGGGGTTGAATTTTCTATTCTCATTTCCTTCATCTTTCTAGGACCAATTTGTTTTCAACTATTTTTACGATTTGTTCTTACATGTGTCTCATTCTAGGCCAAAGGTTGCGCGTTTCCCTGTGTCCACTTATGAGCAAGACAAGTTCCTTTCCCGCCCATGTCAGGCTATAACCCTTCATCCTCCAGCCCCAGCCTCGCGCCTCGCACACGGTTAGCATCTCAACACATTTCCGTGGAATAAGGAAACCTTTCTTAGCGTTGGCCCCGTAATGAGTGGTGTAAGATATCTATCGGGTGCGAGGGAAGTGCCAGAGGTGATGTGAACCTTCCTTCAGCCTTTAAGCCAAACTAATTATTTCAAGACTTCAACATTGGGCACCTCGGGCTCTGGGTAAATGGGGAATATTTGGGGCGTGGGAGAGAAAGATAAATGCTTCATATTCGCCGACAAACACGGGCCTTCCCACGCCTACCGGGCTGGGACGGCCCCGCAGAGGACCCCCGGGGCTCAGGGGCCTGGGTGGCGGGGGTTTGGCGGGACGGGGGGTGTCCTGGCCCGTGATAACTGTCGGCCCAGGTCACAGGAGGCGCGGGCACCACCCACAACCCGAGCCTTCCCTCCATACGCCCGGTCCGAGCGTGGGGGCCCCAGGGAGGGCGGGGCCAGGGAGCCGGGAGGGCGCCAGAGGCTGTTTCAGGCCCAGGGACTTCGGACGCCCGCGCACCGCAGCCTCTCTGAGGAGCTCGCGGGGTCACAGTAGCACGCGTCCACCTCCTGCCGCAACAGCGCCCGGCTCCAGAGCCTCCCTTCCCAGGCTCGGGGCGCCCCCTGCAGGCCCAGCTGGGGAGATGCATGGGCATGCTCACCGCCGCGGGGACACGTCCGCACACATGCCCCAGTCGCGCACAGCCCCACAGACACAGCTCGGGATACACACATTCATGCATGCGACATACACTAACCATCTACTCAGGGTCCTCTCCCTACAATCATTCACCCACCCCGACCCCCCTCCCCAACGGACTTGGTTGACTCTCCTGCCCCAATGGCTAGTACGCTCGCATTCAGGATCTCCTACCTCTGGGGCAGGGATTTGGCCAGACCTGGGAGCACGAAAGTTGGGCAGGCTCCTTGGAAGAGGATGAGGCTAGGCTGGGCTGAGTGAGTTGATCTGCCCTGAGCTGGAACAAGATTGCCAGGGCTCAGGCTGAACCAAGAACCCTGTAAAGACGACTTGGCTGGGAAGAGGGTGAACAAGGCGAAGCACATAGCGCTGATGCTTCTGTATCTGTGGTCAGAAACTGTTTCGAACACCTCCCTGACCTCCAGTCCCCCACCCCCATTGGATTATCTAAACCAACAGCTGTGGGTAGGTGCCTTAAACCCTTCACCCACCGGGCCTGTGTCCTTTCCCTTTTTGCCATGATAGTAGGTACCTTCGTAACACCCTGACTGCCACTTCCTTCCCTGATTCCTCTTTCTCTTCCTGATCTGTTCATGTTGGTGAGGTCCAGGACTTAGAACTTGGACCTCTTCTATCTACACTCACTCTCTTGGTGACCTCATTGTCTTATACCTTTAAATACCATCCATTTACTCCCAAATGTGTGTCTTCGGCTAGCATCTCTTCCCTGAACTCCAGGCTCATCCGAGCTACCTACTTAACATTTCCATTAATATGCCCAACATGCAGTTTCAACTTAAATCTATACCAGGGTCCTGATCTCCCCACAAACCCACTCCTCTTCAATCATCCTCATCTTGTTAACTAAAATTCTATCCAAGTTTCTCAAGTCAAAAACCTTGCAGTATTCTCTCCTTTTCTTTCTCTCATATCTTATGCTGAACCCCTCCGCAAAGGCTGTTGGCTCTTTGTTTCCAGAATCTGAGCACTTCTCACCAACTCCACACACCATCATCTCCTCCCTGGATTGTTGCAACAGCCTCCACACTGGTCTCCGTGCTTCCATTCTTGCACCAGTTTGGTCTACTCTCCATTCAACAGCTATAGAGAGTTTATGTCAGACCATGTCACACTTGTTCAATACCTTCCAATAGCTCCCCATCTCACTCAGCAGAATATAACAATGGCCTACAAAACCCTGTGCTATCTGGCCCCTGTTATTATCTGACTGTATATCTCCTACCACCCTCCCCTTTTAGCCTCCTTGCTATTCCTCAAATACACTCTTGCCTCTTTGCCCTTGCTCTTTCCTCTACCTAGAACATCTTCACCTAGACCTCTGCAAGGATTTCTCCCTCACCTTCTTCAGGTCAGCTCTCTGCTCAAATGTTATTGGTAAAGGTTTTCCTGACTGCCTTATTTAAAACAACACCCTCCCTCAATACTCCCTATCCCTCTTGCCTTCTTTATTTTTCTGCATAGCACTTATTGCCATCTGAGATAGTATAGATTTTTCTAGTTCGCTTATTGTCTGTCTCTTTCATTAGTATAACAACTCTGCAAGAGCAGGAACGTGTATCTGTTGTACTTACTGCTGTATCTCAGTGCCAAGAATGGTGTCTGGCACATAGGAGGCCCTCAATAAATATTTATTGAATGAATGTGTAACAAAAGCCTTGTTTATTGTTATTTAATTATTTCACCCCTTCCTGCTGATTCTCAGGGTCTTTCCCAACAGGCGCTCCAGGCAGATGGTATTGAAATTGAATTGAAACCTCTCTGCCAGCTTTGCACTGTCTGATTGTGTCATTTAGGATCTTGGCAGGAAACAAATGCCATGCTCAAAAAAGGTTAATGGAAAAGAATTTAGTGAAGGGACCACTTACAGAGGTGAGAGCAGGGTTGTTGTAGGCAGTCACTGCACGTGAATTAGTATATCCCCAAACCTCAGACCATCTCTTCTTCTAGGCAAAGTGTACACTAAATGTACTGCCCCAAATTCTGCACACTGAGAGGACTTCCCTTAACCACTGTATTTCAGGACCATCCCTGGATGGGGCTGTAATCAGCTGTCTCTTCCAGCTAATGCCAGCATACCTTACAGACCCTCTGTTAACTGTTTGTAGAGAACATCTCCATGAAGCTGTAAGTGTGATGAGAGGAAGAAGCAGAAAACAACACAAGTAGGAGTCTGAGCCATCTGGTCATGCTTTTATTCATACCTTCTGAAACTTCTAAGGTCTGGTCTTATATATACAATTCATTTCATAATGAATGCTGCTGTGCACATCCAACTATGTGATTTGCTTAGATAGCACCCTTAGGTCACATTGTCACTGGATGAACTATAATCTGAGTTTGAGACCAGGGCCCCAAGGCCTATCAAAAGCTGCTTTTCAAATAGAAAAGAACTGTTAGCAGAAGAAGCATGGCCTTACTCCACTACACTAAGGTTCTTCGCTTTAACTCTCCTACTAGCGCTCCTACAGCACACCTTTATCTGCCACAGACAACATGAAATTCACTGGATTTGTGGGTCATTCAGCCAGAGCAGCAGTGCAACTTTCCCTGGAGCCTGGACCTCATTCAAAACTATCAGCTTCGGCTGGGCATGGTGGCTCACGCCTGTAATCTCAGCACTTTGGGAGACCGAGGCAGGTGGATCACCTGAGGTCAGAAGTTCAAGACCAGCCTAACCAACATGGAGAAACCCCATCTCTACTAAAAAAACAAAATTAGCCAGGTGTGGTGGTGCATGCCCGTAGTCCTAGCTACTCGGGAGGCTGAGGCAGGAGAATCACTTGAACCCAGGAGCCAAGATTGCATGATTGCACTCCAGCCTGGACAAACAAGAGTGAAACTCCATCTCAAAAAAAAAAAAAAAACCTGTCATCTTTATGAGCCTTTATCCAGTCAACATTTTGCCGTAGTACATGTAAATACAGTATATATTGCCTCTAAAACCCAAAGTGCTCTTTAACATCATGCCCTAATGACTTTTTCAGCTCATCCCCATCTCCATAGTGTAGAAATTTCACCATATCTTGAAAAACACTGACTAGGAGGAAGATTTATAGAATCCGCCTGTGAAAGAGATCCAGGATCTCCCAGCCCCCCACACAATCAAGAGGATTCAGTTCTGGGAAACCGGCCTAAGTTTAGGAACTGGGTAAGACTGTAAATCCTTAATATAACTTGAAAATCAAGTTTCTGCTTACCAGGTCTGGAATTTTTCCACTTGTATGGGTCAAGTAGAACATTAGTAAACTGTCCATTTCATTACTAGGAACACCATGATTAATTAGCTACCACCATATATTCCTATGGGGCAAAGCACATGATTACCACTCATCTCTACAGATTTCATAGTAATTTCACTCACCTTATCACTCATGGT